AGAGAGAGAGAGAGAGAGAGAGAGAGAGAGAGAGAGAGAGAGAGAGAGAGAGAGAGAGAGAGAGAGAGAGAGAGAGAGAGGGGTGATCCATCCAGGCAGCAAAGTCAGTTGGCATTCACACTTGTGGAATAGCACTGTGGGCCAAGTAGGTCATAAGTACAGCCTGAACTTTCTGCAGTGGACAACATCACAAACTTCAGAATAACATCTGAGAAAGACGAGAGCCTTCATCACCGCCCGCGCTTCCCCCCCCCCCCCCCCCCCCCCCCCCCCCCGAAACTCGTCTTAGTTGTAGACAATTTCGGATACCCATCACCTGTCACCCACGCAACATCCCCTGAACTCCCAAGTTCCTACACTTCCAGTGGATGTAGCCATTTCACTTGCTTTCGCCGTCTACCGGCAGCTCTTTTGACAACGAATTTGATCCCGCTCGCTCCCAATTGCTTCCGTTCTCGCGTTTACTCACGAAGTCACAGCTTACAAACTCTTCATCAAACTGACTCTTTCTTACCTGCTTTTCACAACTTAACCTGCAGCAGGGGACCTCTCTCTCTCTCTCTCTCTCTCTCTCTCTCTCTCTCTCTCTCTCTCTCTCTCTCTCTCTCTATGTCTGTCTGTCTGTGAAACCTCAGCAGTGTCTCTTCACCCAGCACACATATACACAGGCCAAACTTCCATACAGTGTCTTCTAGAACCAGCTCAGATTGAGAAAGAAAGCGATAATCTAAAACTTACTCATGCCGACCACAAAGTAAACCTGAAGTGGGGATTTGTTCACTATCCACTCTCTCGCGGGGAGAGACGTGGACATTTTGTGTGACTTGGCACACAGGTCTTCTATCACCTACTATAAGAACTTCACTGGGTGCCACCATGTTTCATACCAAGGTGCAAGAATTTGAGGGCGGCACATGCGGCCTAACGTCACAATCGAACTCGCGCATCCACCGCATGGGAACAGAAGAGGAAAGCAATCACTCGGAAACGAACCGCCTGCCGGTATCACTCTCAACCCCTCCTTTCCTGTCAAGCCCCCTCCCCAGGCCACACCCCATACCCAAGGCCTTGGTTGACGAAGTTGCCCACGAGCCCTTGGCAATTTCAAGCCTTCTTTGCCGACGCCCTACGACAGCTTACAGCCCGGTTTTGGCAGTCAAGCCCCGACTAGTCAGACCCTGCAATACCCAAGTCCTCCAGCAACTTATTGCCGTGTTGGCAATCAAGCCCCAATATCCGAGCCCTACCCCGGCCAGGGGCTCGCGGGCTAGGCCATGGTCGACAAAGGCTGTCCAGCAGCTTAGCCCTTGTTTGCCCACGCCCTCCGGCAGCTTAGCGCCCATTTTTTTCTGGAAGTTGAGCCCTGCAGCAGGGCCAAGCGCCCCCGTAGCTGAGCTTCCAACACCGGTGAGGCCTTTTGTTTGCTGAGCCGATCATTTTTTTTGCGAAAGCCTTCATCAACGGCGCCCTCCGTTTAACCACCAGTACCTCCACATTTTTAGGCAGTTAACGCGGCGGTGGCTGAATCGGTGCGCCGCGCGGGTCCATGTGCATTTACGTCAGAGCCTCCCCAGAGGAAACCTAAGACCCCCTGGAGTACTGGTGGTTTAAACCACCAGTACCTCCACGCCTCTTTTTCCTTAGGCGGATTTATGCTGGCGCAATAACACTTTTTTTTTTTCCGTTTTGGCCGCCCCTGCCAGCCAAACAGATCCCATAGGCCAAAAGGCTGGAAAGATGCGGTACATGTAATGCCACCTCCAAACAACTTGCTCTGAACACTTCATCCACCCGGCGAGCCCTGCACTAGCTGACCCCTCAGACGATCGCGCCCCCGACCGTTGCGCGCTCTTTGGGCACCGAGTCCTCCCTTAACCTGTCCGCGTAGTCGAGCCGTTCTACATCCGAGCAAGCCTGGCGGCTGCGGCCAACTTGTCCGCGTAGTCGAGGGCGCAATCGTCTGAGGGGTCAGCTAGTGCAGGGCCAACCTGTCCGCGTAGTCGACGGCGGCGGATTTGTAAGGCAAGCCCGGCAGCTGCGGCCAACCTGTCCCCGTAGTCGAGCCGTTCGACATCTGAGCTCTGCGCTAGCCAAGCCCACCGTCAGCGTGAAGTCTTTTGTCAGGCAAGCCCTTCAATCGTCGGGAGATCTATCACTGGACCCCTCTGGCATCCTCAAGTATCTATTACTGGGGGGGTTGCTTGTGAATCCTCAAGTATCGGTACCCTCCCTCTGGGGGTTGCTGGACCCCTCTGGCAGCCGTCAAGTCCTCGTTCACTACATCTGAGATCTATGCTAGCCAAGCCCTCCATCAGTGAAGGCTTTTGTAAGGCAAGCCCTCCAATAGTTGAGCGCTCTGTCAGGCGCGCTATCAAGTAACCGTGCCCCTTGGTCGGCAAGCCCCATGGTAGCCCTTCGGAAGTCGAGCTCTACACTAAGCAAGCCCTTTGGTAGGCAAGCCCCATGGTAGCCGCGCCCTCTGTAAGACAACCCTTCCAGGTCACAACTGCAGTCGTCAACTAGCAGAGTCTGACATAACCGACCGACCCTTCAAGTCTGCACATCTTAGCCTATACTCGCACTTGGCCTTTCCGAGTCGTATCTGACCCAAATGATGACCACATTCGCGACAGAGAATGCTTGTATACATATCACCTAACCGGCAGAAATTTCTTCACATATTCTATTCATAAGAACATTACGTTTGCCACGTCATGCCTGCCCCCATCCATTATTCGCCATCAGCATAAGCCGATTATTCAGACAGCTCAATGGTTCCTACGACATCAAAGAAGAAGACCATGGGTGCCAACCCTACTGAATGGACTGCTCAAGAGGTTTATGACGCAGCAAAGCACACAGGCACACCACCCTTATCGAGAGAGACTCTGTCGACGAGACCCACTACTGAGAGACGCTACCCAACACCCACAAGAAAACACCACTATTGAGCACAAAGTGTGACTAACGCAGTGAAGAGGAGCAGGGGTACCAACCCTATTGAATGGACTGCTCAGTGGGGTTAATGCCACAGCGAAGCACACGGGCACATCAGCCATATCGAAAGACACTACGTTAGAGATACGCAATACTGCAGAGACCCTACCCAACACCCATAAGAGCACCAGCTTTATGTCACAAGCGCCATTTGTGGCCTGCTGCTGCTTTGATGCATCATTTGGGTTAAAGAAAAGGGAGGCTCACACTTTCGCCACACTCTACACAACTTCGCAACACACACAGTCTACAGACTCTACACGTAATTGTCATCGTAGAAAGATCAATCAGTGGTAGCAAAGAGCACTCACCAACTGGAGAATTGCGTCCAATTCCCGTACTTTCTCATTTCATCAGCTCAAGCACGCCTTTCCTTCATACAAACTTTATCCTAGCATGCGCCCAACCTTTGACGCCCAATCAGTTACACAGCCAGAATACGCGAACTCAGAAGCTACACATACTACAATCTCTCGGCAGATCGTTGAGTACCAAACAGTACCAGATCAGATGGAGGAACAGGAAGCAAACCAGGAACAAACTGTGCTTGCTGTTGGAAACATAACTGCATACCATTTGACTGCAATCATGAGCTCTCTCTCTCTCTCTCTCTCTCTCTCTCTCTCTCTCTCTCTCTCTCTCTCTCTCTCTCTCTCTCTCTCTCTCTCTCTCTCTGTGTGTGTGT